TAGTCTGCAAATTGTCCAACTTCTTCTTCTTCTAAAAATCTGGTCCACCGACAAATTTACTATAAATAAATATTCATTTATTTAAAAATAATATGTAGAAATACTTTTAAATTGAAGAAGTTTCATTTAATTTTAAATGCAAATTAGCAAAAAGTAAAGAGTATACTTTTAAATAAAGATCTAACCGAGTTTTATTAACGAATACATCACTGTACATGAGACCTCAATTTGCTTACACTAATTGTCTGTAAGTAACATGATAAGTAGAGCGCCGACGGTTCTTTTTAAAATTCAGACGAATAAAAAAAATATTAAATTATTTGACAAGTTAAAAACTATGTCAAAGAAAAGAAAGGTTTTTTAATTAAATTAAATATAAGATTATAAAATTAAATGAAGCTTAGATCAATTTATTTTTTACACCCTTAAAGTACCTACCTATATAATATATATAGATAGTTTTAGGTAATACTTATAAAAACATTTTATCTTTTTAAATGTAGAAAATAGAATGGCATTGCTCTAAAAAACACAATGATAATTTATCACCGGGAATGACTTTGAAAGAGCACCTGGCCAAAGGCCCCACGCGACCCCATAACTGTTTCCGTCTTTTGACTTGATTCGCAACGCACCGACTTTTGTCAATATGCTTGTTTAATACATATTATGTTATCTTCAAACTTTATTTAAGTAGTTCTCTAAACATGCAGATGGAAGGCGGATCGAATGGCAGCTGTATCTCCCCTAGCGGTTTATATATTTTGATTATACTTTACTGGGAGTATTAATTTTATTAATTATTTAGAAACATATTTTAATACATAATATAGAATATTTAATTAGTTCCTATTTTATTTTGATGCTAGATAAGTATTTGAGTGTAGAGTTCACCTTTTATGATATGTTACTAAATACCTACTAAAACGAATAAGTCTATAATTAATAAGTAAATCATTATAATTATGATTATTTTTATTTACATCTTTCAGCACAAAACATAAGGAGAAAATAACTTTAACAAAAAAAACGACAATTATCACCACATAAGCTACATGTAAGTATGAATAAAGAACTAGATATCAAAACAATTTTTCGAATGGCAACCCAACTCTGGCGCCGGCAACATTCGTGGTTGGCGAATCGACTTCCTGCCTTCGTTTCCCGCTGAAATGGATCGCTTCCGATGTGTATTTGTCATAGCCTAATCGCAATGTACAGTGGAGATGAAATAGTATTTAAAAATATAATTTTTCTGTAATATATTAAGATTTATATTAGATTTCTATAAAAAACTGTTAAAAACCTATTCGTTACATTTGAAATGATGAATTATAATTTATTAACTGTGCTAATTTCACAAACAATAAGGCTTTAATTACACCAAAATCGCTGGCGTTTGCAATTAAAGTAGGTCTCTACTTAAAATATTGCTGAATCTTTACTCTTTATAGAGCTTATAAAGTTCCATGAAAATCGATAAATTTGTTATTCCAATCTACGCTTACTACAAGTACCAAGTGTAATAAGAGCTAATAAAAGTTGACGTTCTGAAAGCAATTTAAACAAGTTTATAAAGAGACTTACACAAAATGGTAAACTAATATTTATTATGCAATTTTAATAAAATAAATATTAAAAAAATAAATCTTATAGGTTTTATATGTTTTGTTCAATATGTATTTTCTTGTAAACAAATATAATGAATAAAACAGTATTTTAAACTTGACTCTCCATAGATTTTCTTATCGGCTAATTCACATTGTTGTAATCCGTTTGTGAGCAACAAACAAGCCGTTAGCTGCGTATCTTCTGGCATTGCTCGGGAAGGGCCACTCCCTTATCCTTTTATCGTCTGCCTAATGAGCCTCGGATAAAACAATTTCTTTATTAAAACTTATTGATATTGCCACTGTTGCATTTTTACACAAATGGTAAAATATATTTTATTTTGCTTATTTTGTTTGTCTCTTCGCTACCTTTCAAAAATCAACCATTCAACAAATTTCGAGAAGATATTGGTACAGACATGTGTGCCCTGCTTTACCGAAGTTTGATTTTTTCTTTTCGAATGAATATAGGGATTTTAGTATTTGTATTCAAACCTTTTTAACGTCCCAATGCTCTTCTGTGTCTTCTCAATGCGAGAAGGAATAGGCTGTAGTCCACCATACTGGCCAAGTGCAGGTTGGCGGACTCACGTGTTTTTCGTAACTTTTTAGGTCTAGGTTAGGTACTAAATCTCTCGGACATGCTGGTTTCTTCACAATGTTTTCCTTCAACGTAAATGTATAGTGGTAGAAAGATGAATTATTAAAAATCGTCCAACAAAGAGCAATTTAAGATCCTGTATTTTTTTTAAATCACATAAAAATCTCTGATTGCATAGATAAGTAAAGTCAGGTAATTTAAGGCGCGGGTGAGTGTAGCGTAATTGTGTGAACTGATTGCGTAATTAGCGCGACGAGTCACCGAGGGCGCGGGAACAACACCCCTGCCTTTTACATCCGTGAGAATCATTAATTACTAATGTTTGTTTTAAATGTTTGCGTTACTTCGAAAAATATTGTTTATAAACTGTGCTTTTAATTTCCATACTTTATTTTTGGTGGCGGTTATATGGTTTAATTAAACCTAACTCTATCATAATTTGTCCTTGTAACTTTATCTTTAAATAACGTAGACAATTTAAAAAATATTTTATTTTTAATAATATATTTATAAGCTTTTCTATTGAACATCAATGTTATTTCGTATGATGTCTGTCTACAGACGCTACGAATGAATGTAGACAATGTTAAAATGTAAGTGATTTATAACCTGTGGATACGACATATCGATTTCATTTTTAAGTTATCTAAGGATGACCTGAGAAGTTACTCAAAGCAAAACAATGTAAGTGCATCAATTTATTTCAATTTACAGAATTGTATTGTTTGGGCGGGCGCGGGTGCGTTCCCGCGCTTCCGGACGTTGCTTCCGACACGAGCGCGACGCGTGCCGCCATCTTTGAATTATACCCTGCGACGCTTGCCGTTTGTTGCCAGAAAGAAAAACAATTCACATTTCATTTATAATATTCACTCCATTTTATGCTTTAATACAATCGTGACAGTTCTCTTACTGTACTTTTTATAACTGGTTGTTAAGATTGTTTTCAATTTTATTAATGCTTGTGATTGTTTATCTAGAGCGTTAATGTTGTTTAATAATTATCTGGAACATCATGTCGTGCAGTGAATATTGTAGAACGACTGCCATTTGCAGAATGGGTGTAATTTTAAGTAAAAGTCACGTCAGTAACTTAATAGTTACATATATTGCCTCGGTGGTGTAGTGGCTAGCATGTACGGCTGCACACCCGGAGGTCCTGGGTTCGAGTCCCGGGTCGGGCCAAGTTTAGTTATTGAGTCTTTCTGTATATTAAGCCTCAATAACAGCCCGGAGTTGGGAAGTTGGCGGTGTTTCACCCCCGTGCCTCGGAGAGCACGTAAAGCCGTCGGTCCTGCGCCATAACTTTCACTGGTCGTGTCGAGTGGTCGTCCCACCAGAGTATGAGAGTGACAGGAATAGAGAGTGCACTTGTGTCTGCGCGTACACTTGTGCACTATAATATCTCCTGCGCAGTTGGCTAGTCTCAATGAGATTGGCCGCCGTGGCCGGAATCGGTCAGGAGAACATCATCAGTTACATATAAAAAATATTATTTTATCTATTGCGGAATACTATTTAAAAACTATTTATTTTATTGCAGGAGTTAAATATTTTATAATTATATGTAAATGAAAGTTTAGCATTTAACAAAAAAGAGTTGTAACTTATAGTTGTCAAAACTTAATAAAACTTATTATTATTTTTATCAATATACATTTTTTTTATCTCTGCCATCAAAGTTATTTGTCATATAATAAAGTTCTAAAAAAAACAAACAGTTGATCATAAAGAGTAACTAATAATTAAAGCATCCATTAACGTAACAATTAATACAACACGATTGTGAGAACGATGCGTTTGTTCTTTGAACAGTATGTTCACGGGAGGCGGGCGCGTACGTCACGAGTCACGGCAAACATTTGCGATGCCGCGCCCTGCGCCCTGTGTGCACTCGATCTATATTTGTTCGCTAACGGCATGTCAATAGCAAATGAAATCTTACGTTAAACTTTTCACAGTGATTATTAAAATTAAATATATTTAACATTTGTAGGATTGGTAAAAATTAAGATATCTTTTGAAATATTGACAAATCATCTAAAAATCTGTTACATTAACAGTTTAATTGCTAGGACATAAAAACCAATCGATTTTTGACAATATATTTTATACTGTGATGTATAACCGGTAAGAAGAGATTTTTTTAAACCAGTACCTAAATGTGTGGAAAGGGGTGGCAAAGTTTGCATGCGATACGATATTTTTCGAGTGTTAAATAAATGAAAACACCCGGACGAATGGGTAGGTAATAATAAGTATTAAATAATATTACGAAAATGTTACCATAGCCAGTAATAGTAATAAAAGTTTATCAGACTTTTTAGGGACGAGACTCTATCAGTCTGTGAGGGAGAGACTCTATCAATCTGTCTATAGAAAAGTGTTAAAATATAATCTTAGTGTAAAACTAAAATGTCAAATCTCATCAATATAAGAAATTAGATAATCTGCTTGGGAAATAGGCCACACCTAGCTGAAGCGCATAAGTTGGAACTCGTGGAATTGTACTTTTCTGTTGACGAAGTTTTTTCATTTGTATGTTTTAATAAAGTCTTCTTAATAACATATCATATAAATTTTAACCGTATTTCTCATTTCATGTCATTAATTAAAAAAATGACAGTAAGAAGTTATAATAGTTACATTTAAATTTCATCTGTTTTAGAAACTTCGAAAATCAATTCTTGTGAAAACATTTTAACATCACTGGTGAAAGTATGTTATTATAATAAAAAGTTTGAGAGCTTCTTGCTTTTAACAAATTTGTATTTTATGTTAAAAATTCAATTTGCTGAAGCGAAACTTTCAGGTTCCTTACCATCTTTACGATTCACTGAGGGCACTAAAATAAAATGAGAAGTTTTCTGTTTATCGAACAACTTGTCTAACGGGAAGTGCTCCCGAAAATTGAGTGAAGCTCGCATGCAGCGAAGACTATTACTGTTAAAGTTTTGTGTAACAATGTGTAATCTTGCCATTTCTATGCGCAAAATTCCCAACCGGAAGCGGTGGAGCTCACGTCGTTGGGAGGAACCGCGCAACTTCGCTATTGTGGCGCCATCCATAGCTGTCCGATATACTGACACGTTTCCGGCCTCTCCTCACAAAGTCTCAAGCTGTCAACTCATGAGCGGATGCCTTGGAGTTTCCTTGAGGGTCTTTTATACATCTGATTCTTTAAAAGATTTATTTTCTTCTTATAAGTAGACCAAACCAATAAAATTCATGGCAGTCAAAAGTTTCAAAATAAAATCTTTGTTTGTTTTTAGGTAATTAGAATCTACTTAAAATTTCTTATTGCTTTCGATTAGGTGTAAGTTGTTTTTATACGAGTATAATATAGATGTACGAGTACAATATAGATGTTTGAACATTATCTTTGTTTGTAAGCTAAAATTGTATTGGTTAATTCAGTGGAGCGTCGTATATCGCATCATTTTTACTGTCTCTACGTGGGCGGGTACTATTCGTAGCAAGGCCGCACGATATAGTATTACAGTTACTTTAACAAATCTTATTAGAGATACGCCACAGCCAGTAAAACTCCCTTTAGTTCCTATAGATATGAGAGGTAAGGGAAGAGGGGAAGATCTAGTTAAACTGGCGGTCGTTCACGATCGGTTTCGTTGTGTATTGTCTTCCTACGCTTATCGACGTACGTCACTAGCTAACAAGAACTATACCTCTTGTAAATTCGCTTTTTTGAGTTTCATCAGACTGCCTGTTTTATTCTCAAAATGTAGTGCTTATGATTCTGTATAACAATGTTTGAACATTGACGAGGAACTTAATGGAATTTGATTTCATAAATTAAAATTAACTAGATATTAATGGTAATACACATAGTGGGTCCTTGAAAATAATCAAAATTATTTCTGTGAATTACGAGTTTTGCGAAATTATTTTTAATAGCCAGAACACTGCTTAAATTACTATTTAGCTCTGCAAATCCGGCTCAAGATTATATTTAACTCGTAGATACATAATTAGGTATTAAACTTTTTGTGAATATTACCTATCTTGAGGGAACTCCTGCATGGCTTTAATAAAATTGTTGACGTGATTGTTATTTAGTGTACTATCTATCGATCATATTTAGAAAATTTAAAATCTCGAGAGAAGAAACAGGTATACGAGAGGGAGCTCTTTTGCGCAAGAAGCGATAAGTGAATAAGTACATAGTAAATAAAATTAAGCATCAGCATTTGTTTTGACTATAAAATATACATTAACGCAGTTGAGTATTAATAATGTGATTACATTTGTGATGTTATCGATCGTACATGAATTGATCGTAAATTCAGTAAATTAGTAGGTACTAAATTATTATGTGCAGTTACTGTTGTGCCTATTAGACAGTACATTTTTGACACTCATTAGTCTAACAATGAGTGTCAAAAATGTCCAGTACCCGTGCGCCACCTATTGTATGTTAATGATGCTATTTCAACCTTCGGGAGCGTCTCCGTTAGATCTGACTAAGGTTAAAACAGTATAGAAATGTTATATTTCAATTTCCCTATCTTATAGTAACGTACAACAACGTAGGAAAATTGAAATAATATCCTTTTTAAAAACGCGAGATGCTACGATAACCGTAGCTTATCTACGTAAAATATTATAAACATTATTTTAATCTTATACTTTTATGTATGGTAGATTTATTCTTTTTTTTCTTTAGCGTTTAGTATAGATTTCTCAGAGATGAGATATTTTCCCGCAGTAAAAAGTATCCTATATGTCGATCCGGATGACCAGCTAACATCATACCCATCAAATTTTTTTCAGTGGTTTTCGCGTGATGCGTTCTCAGACAAACAGACAAAAATTCTAAAAACTATATAAATTCAGCCTCTGTATCGATAATAATGATTATATCAATAAGATTTTCCAAAACATATTTAATGTACAGATTCAACATAGAATTTTTTTATATGTATAGAAGATAATAAAACCAAGTTATGTCTCCTTATAAATATTTTTTTTTAAAAAGAATAATAATGTGTATTTATGAAGTTGGTCAAAAATAGAACATTTCATTAAAATACAAACTGACTCTCTCTCCATTTAAAATATTATGTGATGTATGTTTTTCTTAAGATGCAAATAACTAATAAGTTACTTGAGCTTTAAGAAAATAGAAATATTTTTGATAATTTTAAATTATATCGCGCACTGACTAAACGTGTGAGACAGTCTATTAATATACAGCTAATGCTTATATTGTATCGCGAATTGCTTGACATGGCAGTTTATTGCGGACGCAGGCGTACGGCAGATCCGGGTATTATGGAGCGTCATAGCTATTCTCATATCCCAATAGGATTACCATGACTTTTTCTCCGTTCTTTCTTCGTGACGTTTTGTTATTCAATAAAGTACACTGTATGTATAATATATAAATATATAAATATAAATATATAATAAAATTGTAACTAAGCCGAATCTGTACATTAATTTTTTTTTTGAAAATCTTATTGAAATAAACATTATTATCGATACAGAAGCCGAATCTATAGTTTTTAGAAATTTTGTCTGTCTGTCTGGCTGTTACTGTATCACAGAAAAACTACTGGAGGGATTTTGATAAAATTTGGTATGGTGATAGCTGGATATCCGGGTCAACATATATGATACTTTTTACCGCGGGGAAAATACCTATCTCATTTTTCAAAAAAATTGAAAACTCCAATGTAAGAGTATACTAATATGTAAAACCTAACAATTTGGTTTTTGGTCATCTGAACGCGGGCGGAGCCGCGGGCTATGATAGTATATAAATATAGGTAGTGACCCTACTTGCTGTGCTAGCGGTCGCGGGTTCGAGTCCCGCTGGGTGTTTATATTTATAATATGTATGTATTTATAGTTATATATGTGTAGTGTATCAACTATCTGGTATCCATAACACAAGCCTCGTAGCTTATCATGGAACTAGATGGCGCTGTGTGTTAATGTCCCAACATATTATTATTATTATTATAGTAACAAAAATAAAAATAATTATAAAATTCATCATTCTTATAATAAAATAAAAACAACGGTATAAATATTTTATAGCAAACAAAACATTACTAAAAAAAAAGATTATTTTCTGTCTGTAAAAACATGTATGGGTATATTTAAACACATTTTAAAGCATGACCAAAAAGGCATTGCCGATATCCCTATTTCTTAGCAAATATGGTATACGCAGCATTCCCGTGAGTGTGACGCTCGTGCTGCTCGTGCTAGCGCTCCGCCAAACGTAAACAAACCATACAAATAAAGTTGCTTTGAGCTTTCATTGACGACTCCTTAGTTGTTTAGTGTAATTAAAGTGTTTACCACCATTTTGCAAACGAGTCCCTACAAACAATTTTTTCCTTATTTCTTAAATTAATTTAAAAACAAAATAACAAATTTTTATACTTCGTATGTCTTAAACATCTTTCGAATTATTTTATCTCATCTTTGATTTTATCTATAATATAGAATCAAGGGTAGACAGAAATTTCGTGATAATGCTACACTACCCTTAATGTGTAATAGGCAGCAGATTAGCCAAACCATAGAATTGATAGAACTAGAAATTATTATAATGCATACTTAATATTATAAATGTGAAAGTGTGTTTGTTTGTCCTTCTTTCGCGTCAAAACAAAGAGACGGATTGGCGTAATTTTTTGTGTGGAGATAGTTGGTGGACTGGGGAGTGATATAGACTACCTTTTACTGCGGGAGATTATCTCATTCCCACAGGAAAACACGTTATAATGCAAACCAAAAATTATTTATGATCAGAATTACTTGAAACTGTATTGTATTAATTCTCTTCAATACAATTAAATAAATAAGTGTTTCAGCATTTTTCGAAATTCATCCCATGAAGGGGTAAAATAGGGGATGACAGTTTGTATGAAACCTACCTTTTTAGAGTTTTTTTATAGTTTTAGCGCGAGCGACGCCGCGGGTTCTGCTAATACCTATATAAAAGTAGGAAAAATTGAAAATCTTAAGGTTTTTTAAGTCCCTATCTTTATATATAATATGAAATTCGAAAGTTAAAATTGTCTTCGTTGTATTGACTTCATTCCATTTTTGCTTACGACACGGTTGATGAGTATATCGCATTCCATACACGAATCACGTCGTCTGCGTCAGAGTTTGTGCGTCTCGTATATTTTAGGTGCATGAGAACGGTCTAGTAGCCGATGTATCATATCCATATAAGAAAATTTTCTCTTTTCTATTTTTGTAGGGTATATATGTAATAATTAGCCATATACATACATTGCACAAAGATATTTTTTTGTTTATCAATTTAAGATATTTTTCACTCTGTTATAATAAATTTTCCAAATTATATTTCCATTTAAATTATAATAAAAATATTGAGTAAATAGATGTATACCTTTATATATAAAGTTCAGCATTAGATAATAATGTCTTCCTGACCAATTTCGGCTACGGTGGCCAATTTCATTGAGACTAGCCATCAACCATCTGCGCAGGAGATATAGTGCTCAAGTGTGCGCGCAGACATAAGTGCGCTCTCTATTCCTGTCATTCTTAGACTCCAGTGGGACGACTACTCGACACGACCAGTGAGAGTAAAGTCGCAGGACAGGCAGAACAGAAAGACTCAACTAAACTTGGCCCGACCCGGGACACGAACCCAGGACCACCGAGGCAGCAATAGTCATTATGGTCTTGAAAGTAGCAAAAAGTGAAAAGAAAGATTAGGTGACTTTTGATAATAATCATCGAATTCAATTTTTAAAGTTAATTCAAGTACTATATTTATCATTCATGAAATTTTTCCATAAATTTTATTTTCTTATATGTGTATTTCAACTAAAACGTAGTTTTGACGTCATTCAATAAGTTATTTTAAATAAGGACGCTGGATTCTGTCATTGAATGAATTTAGTAAACAGGTATTTATAGCGCTAGTAAAATTAATCTAGTCTATAGTATATTAGTAAACGTAAAGACTAATATACATACTTTAGAAAGGAAAATCTACTTATGAGATAAATAGTAATGAGAAGAGGACAAAAAAGATTCTAGTTGTGCTTTTGTT